AGGCATGAGACTTGGTTCTCTATATTACTTGGCGTGCGCCCTGAGCCACAGCTGCTTCTGTGGCGGAAGGTGCGAGCGAGCTTCCCGGCAGCCCTGCTCGCGATTGGGCGAGCCAAATGGCCCTGCCTCAACTCGCCTGCAACCAGGCTATTGATGTCAGCTGCACATGCATCATGTCAAGACCTGGCCTGCATACCGCAGAGGCGACCTTCATTTGTACTCTTCTATGTTTTCTCAACGATTCAAGCTGCCACCGCCCCCCTTCATGTGAGATCTCCCTGTTCGAAATAGTTTGAACAGAGCCACACTCCTACAGGATGAAATGCAACGGTTCCCTTCAAATGGGTTCGGTTTACACATCTATTGCCGGGACCTAATCTCACAAGTCTATGGTAGGCCGATGGCAGGGCTGGAAGCTCGCCGAAACTGGCAGGGCCATCAAGGCTCGCCAAAACACTCGGCAGGGCCAGACAGTGGCTCGCCGAAGGCCAATCGCGGCAGGGCCATCGGCTCGCCGCCTATAGGTATAGCATGTCCACGCTGAGGTGAGGGTCTCACTGGGATCGGCGGACACCGGCCCTCGCCTTGGCCTTGGCCTTGGCCTTGGCCTTTGACTTGGCCAGAGCCCTCAACGGAGTTCGCCATACCTTCTTGTTCGGAGGCGCAGGCTCCGTGCCGTCAATCATGGTCACTTTCTGTTGTGGTGTCAGGACGTTGTGGTTGATGAGCCGCTTGTGCGCCAGTCGACGCACCTCTCATGGCTACCAGGGTAAGAAAGTTTGAAGAACGTCAGCCAACACGTGGGCCAACATGAAGATTAAAAACCTTTGTTTCAACAGCAACCTCAAATCTCTGATTGTTCCTGTTTGGAATGGCTGCCAGCCTGGCCAAAGGTAGGGGCCTCCGGACGGTTCCAGTGGAGCTTGCACAGCTCGGCACCGGAGAGCGGGCTCAATAGCTGGATTGTTGGCCGAACACATGGACCCACTTGCGCCAGCAGGGGGGGGCCCACCTGACGAAACACAACCCTCCGGAATCCAGGGGCCTCTTTGTGGTACCGATACAGGAAGACGCCACCGCGCTCTTCCGCAAACAAGTACTTGTACGAAGCCATGGACGTCCCAGTGCAATTTAGGAAGATCGGCTCCTGCACTTTTTTAGTGCGCCCAAGATTGCAAACCCTCATGAGAAAGGAAAGGTCTCGAAGCAAAAACAAAACAAAACGCAAACAATATCCTTGTGGAGGAGCTTGTGGTTGTGACCAAACCACCCAACCGTCCAGTTCTTGGCACTCGGGGAGCCCAGGCCGGATTCCCACGTCCACCGGGGAGGGACAAACGTCTTCTCGAAGACTACGTCAGTGGGAGACATGTCACCCTCCATGATGAGATCAGCTATGGTGAGATCAGGAACCGACTGAAGCCTTAACGCCATACACAAACCCAGATTCCGACCAGGTCCATTTCACAACAACTCAAGACACCAATGACCCCGCGAAGGTTTAAACCAAGTGTAGTGTCCCTCATCAAACGTGGAGACCAAACATTTAACCAGCCTAATGACTTTTTCCACCCGAACACCACCCCAAACAAGACCGTAAAGTCACAAAGCTGAAGACAAACATTTGTTAGACACTCAAACATCCAGACCCGGACCAGCGATGACACGGCCACTTTTTTTCTTGCGCGCACGGCTAATCCGAGCGCAAGACGAAGCGCACAAGTTGCTGGATTGATCGGCAACCACACGTGTCTTTAAGAATCCTGTAAATCTAGAGTTACTTGACTCAAACATTGCCCACACACAAAGTTTCTTGATCAATAAACTTTCTGTACGGACAAGTTACAAAGTTTATGGATGGATAAACTTTTAGCACCAGGACCATACAAAAGTTTATGGATGGATAAACTTTTGGCACCGACACCCTTAAAAGTTTATGGATGGATAAACTTTTGTACCATGACCCTACAAAAGTTTATGGATGGATAAACTTTTGGTGCCATGACCCTAAACAGTTATATGTGTGGATAAACTGTTAGCACCAGGACCCCAAAAGTTTATGTGTGGGTAAACTTGCGGCACCGTCAACACACAAAGCTTCTTTGTTAGATCAACCGTTGAGCTTTTGTGCAAATGCAAAGTTTGTGGACGTCTAAACCGTCTAAAGCTTTGGCAGAGTCCATCACAACCCAGCAACAAGCAATTATGGATCGATAAAACAGGCGCGGGACCGAGCACAAAGTAAGCGAGTCGAATGAGCCTGTGTCGATATCATCATTGGCAACAACGAGTGAGAAACCTTTGCATCTGGCCCACCCATGCTTCATTTCAACATGGTGTCTTGGGTGGGAAAGGCGCCTGACAGAGTTTATGGATCCATATGCAACTGTACTGATGACTCCGAATCATGGTATTATGAGTGGACCATTGTAGCAACCTCCAGTTAGTCCCATAATGTAACTAGTAAGCACATGGGGGGGTCCCATTTGGGTCGCTTACAAAGGCCCACTCCACACTGCGACTGCAAGGGACTCTTTGCATTTGCTATGCAAATTGCTCTTTCTATGGATCCTATCCCTGCAAGGCGCCTTCTCCTGCGGTGTGTTCGGTCCACTTGGCGGGTCGGGGCCGCTATGGGGCCTGTGATCGTGTTGGTGTCAGGCGCCCACCACTGATATCCCTGGCTGTTTTAGTCTTGGGGGGACTCTTAGCTAACTCTTAGTTGCCCCTAAGCTTGCCAGGGAGTGTTGCGGTGAGCCTCCTAGAATCCAGAGCCTATAGGCCGATTCGGCTACCAAAGCATTCCTCTGTGCAGATGCAACACTGCCACCACGCTGTTTGAGGTGATGTTGCTGTGATGTTGGAGAAATGCTGCTGTGATGCTGGAGTGTTGCTGTGATGAAGCTATGCTGGTGGTGTGGTGCGTGTAGCAGTGAGCCGTGGCATGTGCCCGCGTTCAGTTCAGAGGGTCCCTCCACATCAACAAGAGCTCAAACAACGCACTAGTACTTGTTTGTGGGATGCTGTCCTGCTGCTATAGGCTACGTTGCTTGTCCGTGAGGGCCCTCTCATTTGCCATCCCTTCGCGCTAGATACATCACAGCGTCCGCCATTCGCACGACAGCTGTGGTGAGTTGACCTGCCATCTGGACCTGGTTGCCTGACGCATGTTGCCGCGTCTCCCGCTTGTCGGGATTGCCGCGGGAACTCCTAGAACGTGCCCTGGTTCGCCCCTGGCCTGGCGGCTGCCATTGACCATCAGAGTCCACAAACCCTGCGGAGACATACCTGCCGCCCTTCTTGCCCTTGTTCTTGCCCTTGCCGCCCTGCTTGCCGCGGCCGCGGGCGCCCTTGTTGTAGTGCTCCTGCTCGTCCTTGCCATAGCGCTCGTCCTTGCCATAGTTCGCCCACGTGTTCTCGCCATCGCGCTCGCCCTGGCCATAGCTCCACCATGTGTCCTCGCCATAGTGCTCGGTCTTGCCGTAGTTCGCCCATCTATCCTCGCCGGAGCGCTCCTGCTTCGCCCATGTGTCCTTGCCGTAGGGCTCCGGCTCCGACCACGCATACTTGCCATAGGGCTCCTGCTCCGCACATGCCTTGTCTGCCGCAGGATCGAGCGCTGCTCCTGACAAGCACGTGCAAAACGAGGTTGGGCAAACCCTGCAAATTCCTGCTTGAGGTTGGGCCAACACTGCAAATCCCCAATTTCAGGTTGGGCCAACGGTGCAAATCAGGTTGAGCCCACACTGCAAACTATAATGATGGCGCAGGTGCAAGAGATAATTTCAAAACAAGGTTGAGACAACGTTGCAAATCCTACATACAGAGCGTTGCGACACTGAAACATAGCTTTTGAAGACATGCAGAAAACTACAATCAGTCCTTCAGTCTTGACCTTGGTCTTCCAGCTCCGTGCAGGGGTCGTGGTGGGCTCCTCCTCCTCCTCCTCCTTGCTCACGCCCCAATCCCATTCGCTCTCCGGCTCGTTCTTGACGCCCCACCAACCCTCATGCCAGTCCCCACCGCGCCACCACTCGATCTGGCCCTCCATCGGCTGGCCCTGGTCCAGCGGCTGGCCCATCGACTGGCCCTGCAGAGGCTGCTCCATCGGCTGGCCATCCTTGATCTCCCGCGCCGCCCCTCCTGGCAAGCTGGAAGGCGTTGGAACGAGCAGCCCAACAAAATTTGAAGTGAACAGCTTCAAAGGCTTAATTTCAGAGACAACAACCTGAAACAAACTTCTCAAAAGCTTAATTCCAACAAGAAAAGGCCAAGAGCTCCTCCACTTCCAGATGGAGCGTCCTCCAGCCACGCGCAGTCCCTCACGCCCAGCTCCACTTTGTCCATCGCGTTGCCCTTGCCCTTGGCACGCCTCAGCTCCGCCTTCGCCTCCTCGAAGTCTTCGTCCTTGGGCATGGCGGCCACAGGTCCTAAATCTACGCCAGCACAGGTCCTAAAATCTCCTAAAATGCCAGCGGCGCACACCGCACGTCTCATGGGTCTTGGTCCAACCCTTCACAGGCGTGTCATGACTGGTCACTCCAAGTTCAGAACAACAGCACTCAAATGGTTGTGTGTTTCAATAGGAGACCCTCCAAATTAAACCTTTCCCAAAAAAGGGCATCCTCAAAAAGAACAACCAGTCACCTCAGAGTCCCTTGAACTTCGCGTCGTTTTCCAGACCAAACGCTCAAATGACATTCCTCGACTGCATTCATGACGGTTTGCTACCTCTTGGCATTTGTAGTTTAGGGTTGCGCAAGCAAGTCATCTCAGGGCCCCTTGAAAACAACACAACTCATTTTGCAAAGGTCTTCCGAAACTGACTGTTTTGCCACGCGCTCGCCCCCACGCGGTGCAAGGTGGATCCTAATTACTCGTGAAAGCAAGCGCGGTGACACCCTGCAATTGGTGGCTCTGCGATTAGGTCTTGCTTAGCTTCTTGTGTGGGTGAGGGTCAACCATTCAGTGCTACACACTCAGAAACTCACAGAGCCGCGCTACTTGGTCAACTCCTCAGCATCCGCCCCTGCCGGGCGTTCGGCTGGCGCTTTCGTCTGTGCGCTGTGATGCCGCCCTTCCTGCCCCGCATCACGGCTCTGAAGGACTCCAATCCTCAGATGTTCTAGGACTTCTTCATCAAGTTCCAGGAAGATCTCCTGTTGGTTCCGCACGTTCCACAGGGCGCGGACACTGGTCTCGGCGAAGGAGACGCCTCCGTGCGTGACGGCAGGCAGCATCACAGTGATGGTGGCCGGCGCCAAGTGGCGGTCAGCCGGAGTGACTCGCCTTTTCTTGTTGGGCACCTTGGGGTTCTCCTCGCCCTCCGCGGGCACCGCCATTGCGTCCTGCACGGCGGCCTTGGACTTGCTATTCCGCTGGGCGATCAGTTCGTCCAGGAAGGCGCAGTTCACGTGGTGCGTCTTCCCTGCCCTCAAGTCCTGAGAGCGGCCGGTCACCATCTTGCAAAAGTAGGTGTCCCACTTGTTGATGGCCACGAATGCCACGCCCTGCACGGTCTCCGTGCGAGGAAGCCATGGACTTTTCTCGGTGAACTCGTTGGTCACCGAGTAGATCTGGTTCACTGACACGCGAGAAACCATCACCAAGCGGAGAGCAGGCGAGCCACAGGCCCTGCCTAACCGCCTACAGGTGGGCGAGCTGAGAGCCCTGCACCTAGAGATGGGCGAGCTTAGAGCCCTGCACCAGAGCTGGCAGTCTTGCCAGCTTGACCCACAAATGGCTGAATGGTTTCTAGCAACCTTCCTGGGAGAAATTGCCATTATTAGGACTTGCTCTTGAATAGATGTGTGCGTTGCTGGTCAGGCTTTGGATCTGGCACATGTGAGAAGCCTCATGAGCACAAGCCCATGCCTGCTTGAAGGAATGCGGTGACTAACGTCGACTGTCAGCAAGCACACGCGTGACAAGTTTTTTGGGAAAGCAACTTGGCACTTTGGACATGCCGTGAGCAATCCAACTGCAAAATGACTCGCAAATAACATTTTTCAATGCCATCACACAGGCCTGCACATCTTCGTCAAGCCTTTGCAAAAAGATCGATGGGTTTATACTTGGAGCTTGTACGAAAACATAGATGGGCTCCTACTCAGAGATCTCCGTTCTGCTTGCCGACCTTCCGCTTTTTCGGAGGAGCTTCCGGCAATATCTCCGCAAGCTCCACCAGCTTCTCGGATTTGGGGCGAAAGACCGTGAGAGTCGTGCCCGGCGTGATGCTGACCGTGTTCTTCATGAGAGGAATTGTGACGTTGCCCGGCGGGGTGGCCAGCTCCTTGCCGTCGAGATCAGGGGAAATGGCCATGTTTGCAGCCTCTGCATCGTTCGTCGCCTGAACGAACCAGAAGGTGTCCAACAGCCCCTGTTTGGAATCCTTCGGGACCGATGTGACGGGCGCAAGGGACCACAGGAGCTTCTCACCATCAGGTCGCTTCCTAAGCGCAGAACAATGACCGAATGGTAATGGAAGGGTCGAGTTGCCAATATTTGGGTGGGAAAGCTGAATGGAGTTGGAAGGAACATGTCAGCGAACAATGCTGTGTAGACTAGTCCGAAAAATGAGGGATGGTAAACTCATCCTAATGTGTGGGGAAAAAACAACCACAGTGGCGATAAGTCTCATCCACCCTAGCGGGATGTTGGCTGCGCTGTGACCACGGGACCCTTCTTTCACCTCCACTCGGGTGGTGGCTGGAACCAGCACCAGCTGCCCTTCTTGGAAAGCACAGATGGAGACAACGGCCTTGCTCGGCTTCAAGACCACCTTCAAACTTTTTGGAACCTCCTTGTGCTCCCTGATCAGCCAGTCCAGCTCCAGCATCACCTTCCCCCGGAAAACGGCGGCCTGAAAGTCCGGGTGATTGAGGCATCCATGCTCCCAGTGGTTGGCGAGCTCCTGGGGCCGGGCCTTGGGTGTATGTTTGACCCATTCCCCCGCGGCAAAGGACTTTATCGAAACCCTAGCGGAGCCATTGATGAGGCCGTCGTTGATGGAGATGATGATGGATCCATCCGGCTTGGCTGCTGTGATCACAGCAACGACCTTGTCTGCCTTGCGGCATGCCCAATCCCCCACCTTGAAGCCGTACTCCAGCAAGAGCTCGTCTGGATGGGCAGGCTTGCCCGATGCATCGTAATGCCTCATCCTGGGTATTTCTTTCGCGTGGCGGCGAAAGGCAAGCAAGTGTCGAACAACTCCCTAGATATCATCTCCACTAGAAAAAATGTCAAGGTGGCGCAATCTGCAGAGTCAACACGGAAAAGCATCCTACGGCAGCCCAGCGGCGCAGGGCCGGCGCTCTGTCCGCTCGAGCTGGCAGCGGTGGAGACCTCGTCGCCGGTCACCCTGTGGGACTCCCACTTCTTGGTCAGCACAACGCCGTGCTCCTTGGCAACCAAGTCGATGGTCTCTTGAGCGCAAGCCTCCACAGTGGCAGGCCTCTGGACACCCTTGACAGACGTCCTGCATGATGGCCTCTTTGTTGACAGCTGTGGATGCCAGCGCTCGCATTTCTTGCATGATGCCCTCCGCGTGGAGAACTGGCTGCAGCAGGTTGGCGCTGCACATGCGTTTGCAGTCAGCTGGGCCTACGAACTTTGGGGGGGACAGGTATGCAAGTCTCAGCAGCGCGTGCCTGATGCCCCAATGGCGTCCCAAAAGTCTGGGCCCAGCGATCTCTCGGTGGAGGATCCAAACTGCTTGATCACGGACTCCGTCTCGACCATTGCCGAGCCCGATGGGCCACCGCCCCACTTCATCAGGAACCCGTACATGTGTGGCAAGCACGGGGCGCATGGCGGTTTGCTCCGGAGCACCCTGTCTCGGATCTCAGCGAAGGCCACCGGGTCCGTCCTACCAGCCGACACTTCCCGCCACGTGTTCAAAATGCGGCGGGCCAACTGGAGCTCGTGCTCGCGCCGCTGGAGTTGCCCGCCAGCGTTCATTGCCTCTTGGACAAGGCTGGCCAACTTAGGCACCGCTTGCATGACGTCTGCAGAAATCACTCGCCACTGCAGGCCACTCTGCGAGGCCTCGTACAGCTGCGCGTCGTGTTGGCGCACCCTCTCCAGGTTGAGGCGCCCGTTCAGACAGAGCGAGTCACACTCGTGGGCCATCTCAGCGAGGATCAACCGCAGGGCCATGTTGGTGTGGCTGCAACTCAGCGAAGCCAGTTTGATGGTGTGTGGCTCGACTGTCGGCAGGAGGCCGCCCGAGCCGAGCTGCTGCGCTACGTTGAACTCCAGCACGGAGTCGTGCGAGGGGCCTGACCCCGGTACCTCGCACGCCATGGCGTCTATTTGCGCCCAATTCCACCCGCAGGCGGAGATATCACGCAGCAAAGAGTGACAATCCATAGCGTTCAGGCCGTAGCCGTCGCGATTTGCGGGATGGCAATGCACGAATCTAGGGCTCACTCGCTGACGCCACATCAGCTGCTTGTCCTCGAGGTAAGTGAACAGGGCCCCCATCGTCTGAACCATGCGGCCCTCACTGGCCTGCTCCACCATAGAGGAAATGGTTTCGAGCGCGTCGGCAGTCAACGCCATGATGCCTTGCAGAAGCCTAGAAACTGCGAGCAAAATGCCCTGCAGCATGTCTGTCGCACGGCGAGCATGCTTGCGTGCCCTGCCGTGGTTTGGCGAGCGACAATGCCCTGCCACCATGCTGATTCAGTCCAAATATATGTGTCCAAACGAACTATGCGCTTGCCCCGCTGCAGCTGGGAACAAGTGAATCAGTGCACACACCCACTGACAGCTGCAAATGTTTGTTGCACAACCTTCCAGTTTCACCTTTGGCTCAAACAGGCTCAAACTGCAATGCGTGTTTCACATTCGCCTTTGGCTCAAACAGACTCAAGCTGCAAATGCGTGTTTCACATGCTTTCAGTTTCACCTTTGGCTCGAACAGGCTCCAACATGGATGCTGACATTTTCTCCAGCATGTATACACACGCGTGGCTATGGCCACGCGCTGCAAAAAAAAACATTGAGCGAGTGAAAACATATATCACTCACAGATGGTGCTCCAAGTAGGAAGCAGCGTTCTGCTGGTTGAACAAGACGTCATCCAAAAGCAAATCCATGTTCGTTTTTTGGGGAGGGGGGAGAAACAGCTAAGGGCAAGAAGGAGGTTAAGCAGCTTCGGGCAACACAACAGTTTGTTTGCATGTCAGAATGATGCTTTCCCCAGAACCAAGCTTTCAAGGGAACGCAGGACACCAACACTTGGTCACCATTATCCCTTTTTTTGGCCACAGCCATTTGAGAGGGGCAGACCCCCAAACTATTTGGATTTGACCCAGATATGTTCATTCTTTTCAGATATGACTCATTGCTTTTGAGTTTGGAGGTCGGTGTGGAATGAACATCCGCTCCCAAAATTCTGCAGTGGCACTCAACGAAACACTTTTTGAAGTCCAATATTCCTCCGAATGAAAACCCTGACCCCTTCCACATCCTTCCAAGCTAAACACTGTAATCTAAACCACTCATTGGTCCCACTTGTTGGCCCAAAGAAGCTACGATAGTACATATTTGTACATTTACTACACCTATATACTGCCCAACCCCCAAAAGTTGCTTGGCCACTCCGCCCGCCCGTCGCCGCCGCCCAAGCTGGCCTGCACGCCACCGCAGCTGGCCAGCAGCTGCGACTGCCGAATCCTGTAATTCATTATTTGGAGGGGATATACTAAATTACAATCAAAGGACGCAACACCCTCTCTTTTTTTGGTTCATGGGGAGGGGAAGACTTGGTCCGAACGCGTTTGCAAAATGTTCTCCCCGGAAAAACCCCAGCAAAATATTGTAAAAAGGCAACTCCTGGCAATCGTTGATGCTGCGCAATGGTAAACATGAGTTTCGGGATCCTTTGGAAAAATCGAACAATGTTAAAGGAGTTGTCGCAAAAACCCTTCTCTCCCGTTTTTTTAATGGCAACCAAGCCTCGTTTTCCCAAAACATTCCTGGCCACGGCGGCGCGTGGAAAAGACAAAGCACATGTTTGGCACGCGTGCGCGCACACACACACAACTGTTTTTGTAACAAACCAACGGTCGGAAAACAGACAGTATATCAATTTAGCCAACTTAACAAATCTTGGCTAAGTTGTACTTGGCCTATATGCATCTGCCCCGGTTTGCACTTAGCCCAGTTACATAAGTACCACTTAGCCTATGGTCTTTTCTCGCAAGTACTTGTTTCATTTGCTATGTGTATGCATGTAGGGTCGTCCAACATACTAAGTCGCGCGCGCAACATGGCTCACATGCCAGACTTGCAACCTTGCTATGATACACCATAGCAAACTTGTAAGTACATCTTGGCACACTTGCTATGTGTCTCACGTGTTGCATCTACTTGCAACCACACCCGCCCATCCAAGTAGAGGGACAGGATGTTGTCACGCGCGCGGCGGGGGGCGTGCGAAATCGTGGCAGGCGCAGCACTTTGGCGATGCCGTTGCGAAATCGTGGCAGGCGCAGCACTTTGGCGATGCCGTTGCCGAAGTCGTGGCAGGCGCAGCATTCTGTGCATCTGGGTGTGTGTTTGTGTGGCAGGGGTCGCATTCGGCAGCTGTCTAGAGGGACAGGATGTTGTCGCGCGCGCGGCGGGGGGTGTGCGAAATCGTGGCAGGCGCAGCACTTTGGCGATGCCGTTGCGAAATCGTGGCAGGCGCAGCACTTTGGCGATGCCGTTGCCGAAGTCGTGGCAGGCGCAGCATTCTGTGCATCTGGGTGTGTGTTTGTGTGGCAGGGGTCGCATTCGGCAGCTGTCTAGAGGGACAGGATGTTGTCGCGCGCGCGGCGGGGGGTGTGCGAAATCGTGGCAGGCGCAGCACTTTGGCGATGCCGTTGCGAAATCGTGGCAGGCGCAGCACTTTGGCGATGCCGTTGCCGAAGTCGTGGCAGGCGCAGCATTCTGTGCATCTGGGTGTGTGTTTGTGTGGCAGGGGTCGCATTCGGCAGCTGTCTAGAGGGACAGGATGTTGTCGCGCGCGCGGCGGGGGGTGTGCGAAATCGTGGCAGGCGCAGCACTTTGGCGATGCCGTTGCGAAATCGTGGCAGGCGCAGCACTTTGGCGATGCCGTTGCCGAAGTCGTGGCAGGCGCAGCATTCTGTGCATCTGGGTGTGTGTTTGTGTGGCAGGGGTCGCATTCGGCAGCTGTCTAGAGGGACAGGATGTTGTCGCGCGCGCGGCGGGGGGTGTGCGAAATCGTGGCAGGCGCAGCACTTTGGCGATGCCGTTGCGAAATCGTGGCAGGCGCAGCACTTTGGCGATGCCGTTGCCGAAGTCGTGGCAGGCGCAGCATTCTGTGCATCTGGGTGTGTGTTTGTGTGGCAGGGGTCGCATTCGGCAGCTGTCTAGAGGGACAGGATGTTGTCGCGCGCGCGGCGGGGGGCGTGCGAAATCGTGGCAGGCGCAGCACTTTGGCGATGCCGTTGCGAAATCGTGGCAGGCGCAGCACTTTGGCGATGCCGTTGCCGAAGTCGTGGCAGGCGCAGCATTCTGTGCATCTGGGTGTGTGTTTGTGTGGCAGGGGTCGCATTCGGCAGCTGTCTAGAGGGACAGGATGTTGTCGCGCGCGCGGCGGGGGGTGTGCGAAATCGTGGCAGGCGCAGCACTTTGGCGATGCCGTTGCGAAATCGTGGCAGGCGCAGCACTTTGGCGATGCCGTTGCCGAAGTCGTGGCAGGCGCTGCATTCTGTGCATCTGGGTGCTCTGTAATCGCATCCATACAAGGGGCGCACGGTACATGTGTGTGGACATTTGAACTCACATCCTTGCGAAAAACATAGCATGTGGGGTTATCCGGTCCTTTAATTGTTGTAAGAAGCCAAAAAAAAGGGCTTCGTTTCGTTTCATCGATGTTTTGAAATTCTTCAAAACGGAAGCCAACAAAAAGGATGGGTAAATGGGTTATGTTGGTTTTGCAGCCAGTGGATGCATGGCATTGTCGGTTCATTGTCCACAAGCACGTACCCGATTAGTTGGTTCAGGCTTCGCTTTAGTTCAGCCAGCCACATCAGTGGACACTGCAATGTACTTGGGGCCGAAGTCAGCAACGCAGTCAACCCAAAACACGAAATCAAGCACGCATCTCCACCACTATGCAAATCCTGAAGCAACTTAGCTTGTTCTGGAATAAAGCAAGCTGCAACAGGAAACTTATTTTTTTTGGTGTTCAACGTCATGACTGCTTCCAAAGTGCTGCAGGCTAGTCTATTGCAAGCCTTCGAAGCACGTTCCAAATGACAGGGCTTCGGAAGATGATTAAATCACATTTGGGAATTACACGCCACGCACATCCAAGTGACATAGCGAAGAGCGAATGGAGATTCTCCAGACACCGGTCCGCTGGCTTAGATTAGCTCCAGACACCGGTCCGCTGGCTTAGATTAGCTCCAGACACCGGTCCGCTGGCTTAAATTTAACCCATAGCCAAATCTGGATATGAAGGAATCCGGAGACCAGCAAAAAAGGGCTTACCAAAAGATTGACACTCATACTGCGGATAGACAAAATCCTGCACCTCCTAAGACACCATAGGAAACCAGGCAAGTCATCCCCGACTTGTTGGAGTAACTGTCTTTTTGGCACAACCGTGAACAGGGCTCCTTAAAAGATACATTTTGCAGCCATTTGAAACATGTTGTTTTTTCCACCAAAATTAAGGGGAATCCACCATTTGCAAGGCAATGTTCAGGTGTATAATGTAAGGATCCCTGATGAAGATTCTTCCAAGCGCGTGGCTTGACCCTCCCCTGTGAGCATCGCTTTTGGCAGATTTCAAGGAGCTGAGACACGCGTATACGGTAACGGTGTCTCGGTTTAATAAACCCGTCCTAAAATTAGGGGGTGTTCCCTCCAAAAGTGCTGAATCCCCCACTAAAAGCGGACACCCCCTATGAATCAACCAGAGGTTTGTTAATCTGGGGGTCCCCTAAAGTCCCTAAAGTTGTGTTTTGTTTGTGCCCGACTTCAAGGCCGACTTAGCTGACTCAGAGGCGACGCTTTTGAAGGCCTGGAATCAGTTGTCAACCCTCTTTTTGCAGGATTCATTTGTGTTTGACTCTTGGCTGTGGTAATGCAAATGCAGGATTCATATAATATATCGCCCTGGTTCACATGGGAAGGTGTCTTTTTTCCCCCCCCCGAAAATAAATATACCACAAAAAAGGGTGGTACCAACTCCAAACTAAGACGAGCTACCCAAATGGGAAGATGTCTTCCAAAAGGAGATTATTGTCTACGAATTCCCTGCTTGATTTTCCGCCAACTCATTGTTACTCACTATTACTCACTTGCCCAGAGCGAATCGATCTGATCTGACCTTTTGCTTTCCCCTGTTTGGTCTATGTTTGGTGGCCCCAAAAGCTGGCGACCTTTTGTTTGCGGGTCCTTTCAGCGGGGCAACCCTTAGGTGGAATCGTTCAAGCCCTGAGGCTCCAAAGGCAGGTGGAGGATGCAAAGAAGCAAGCCGCCCCCCAGCTGCACCGATTTGATTTTTTCCGCTGACTTTGAGTCAGCTTGCTTGGTCGCTT